ATTTAACTTTCAATCGAAATATCGAAGAAATTTCCAGGAACATCTAATTTATACTCGATTTTATCAAGAAACTATAGTAAATCATGTGTATTTTGTTTTGAAGACTTCCCGGTTTGACGTCATGCCGGCATTCTCGCCACAGTACTTTTATGCTGGCGGTCAAACGCTCAAAGTAGGCAAAATCGCCAACTTTGAGCCCCTGAAAGTCCATGAAGATCAAATTTTCGAATTATAAAATATATTGCAAAAGTTCTTAAAATCATCTAAACTATCTAAATAGACTAATTCCATGACTATGTCATAGGTACTTTAATATTATCTTTTACATAAAGGCTACTCCACCGTGTTGGGCGTGTATTCTATCACCTGAAGGAGTTGTAATACTCATGCATCTCAGAGGAAGGAACGAAACTGATCGCATATGAAAGCTTAGCGTTTTAGCTTTCAAAAAATGTCTTGGCAGACGTTCAGAACGGTAACACGTTCTACTATAAGGTCCAATATTCTATTTAACAGAATTTGAGAGGAAAATGAAAGAAAACACTAAAAAATGCATTGAATACAGCCATGACTGTGGAGAAATTATACATAAATGCAATAATTCTGCATGAAAACAAGAATTCCTTTTCAAACACGACAAAAATTGGTTAAAAACATAAGAATAATTGCAAAAGTGGACAATGACAGATTTTATGTTTTAATAGGAAAATCACATCAAATGCATGTTAAAAATGACTGAAAATATATTCAGCAAAAACATACACATTTTGCAACAATTTTAGCTTTTCCAAGTTGCAAGATATGACTAAAATGATACTAAATCTCTAAGCGGAAAAAGCAGCTAAAAAGCAAAGTGAGTAAAAGGCATGTGAATAAAAGGGAAAAAAAGAGGAAAATGTTATAGTTCCAAAACATGTCTGGAGGCAGACACAGTCAGTGAAAATTATATATCAAGAATATACCACCTTCGATATATCGAAAACCCTAAACTATCCAATGCTTCGATATATCGAAAGAATGCCATTTCTTCGATATATCGAAAGATTGCAATTTCCTCAATATTTCGAAAGATTGCAATTTCCTCGATATATCGAAAACTAAACTATCCATGGCTTCTATATATTGAAAGAATGCCATCTCTTCGATATATCAAAAGATTGCCATTTTTTCAATATGTCGAAAACTCTAAACTATCCATGGTTTCGATACATCAAAGAAATGGCATTGTTTCGATATATCGCAGAAATGACATTCTGTCAAATTCAATATGTGAAAAACCAAAAGGATGTCATGTCTTGCCAAAACAAGCCATGTTTTAAATATTGATAGTAAAACAACAAAGTAGGGCACAATTCAGCTCAATGGGTTAGCAATATGGTATACACTCAAAATATAACACATTCTACGATAGGGTTGCATATTCTATTTAGCTATAATCAAAATAATCACATGTACAGTCAGGGCCGCCAAGAGGGGGGGTGTGGGGGGGGGCAAATTGCCCTGGGCCCCCACCTTAATAGGGCCCCAACTTGGAGCAAGCGCCTAAAATTGAATAGGTTCTATAAAGAGCATTTTTGAAATTGAGGGCCACTTACAGCACCTCCACATGCAGTCTACCTCTAGCTAAGGTTTAGTTGGGTCTAGCTTAAAAATAATAATGTCATGGGGGCCCCCAGGGAAGGTTTGCCTCGGGCCCCACTAATTCTCTAGGCAGCCCTGTGTACAGTATAGCTAGCTATATTAATTATACATATACAACAACAACATATGTATATATCTATATTGACTAAAATCACTTCATTAGACAGTACAGTATACAGTAGTAACAACTAAATTCAGTTTTAAGAGTTTCTTCTGCCCTATAACTATATTGCTTTAGGCAATTTTCCCACGACAATGCATTTGGACCCAGTAACATGCAGACCACTGCAGATAAACCAATCCCACAGCAGCGATGTAATACATCAAAATAGTTTATCTTCACAAAACATTACATGGTACTGATTATATACCTTCTTGTATAACTATGCTACAGTCAATCTCCTTTATCAGGTGGTCTGAACCCTCTATGGTTCAACCCGGTTCTTTTGTGTTTGATGTATTACAGCATGCAAAAGTGATATATCATTTCGTTTACATCAATCTAAAAGAATGGAAAAAACTATAAGAACAGACACCATTAAAATGATTACAATTTTTACTGCCAATCAAAGAACACAAGAGAATCAGATATATAATGACATACCGTGAACCTCCGAACATATGCCCTGGGCTTATATTCGTTCGTAAAGATTTTTTGATGGGGGCTTATGTACAGGGGCCATATACTTTTATTGTATCTGTAAACAATGTGAAGTGTGAACCATTGCCTCAGTCAAAACATGTTCATGACCGCTAAATATTTTAGACTAGAAGTGATGATCATTCCTATGTTGTACAGTTAAAACACAGACAAGAAGGGATATGTATTTTAAAAATGTAAACAATATTCTTGGGACCGCTTCAAACGTTCAAACAAATCTACCAACCTGAAATTCGCACTATCTTGACCATGATCTGGACCTTGGCAGCAATTCAACGCTTTTCCTTCGATTTGATCTTTCGACAGAATCGACTGTTTAGCTTTAATTTTGTTAAATATTTAATATTCATGTTCATTATTCATATCCAAGCACTGTCCTCACAAAGATTTACCATAGTATAGCTATTATATAAACGCTAATATTCATATACGCCATTGAATGAGATTCGAATTCAAAATTTATAGATATTGTGCGCCAAAGAACGAACAATAACCAACGGTTTATGAAACGAAACACGACGATGTCCATAAAAGGACATAATCGAAACAGCTCGCTTCGAGTTCGGTAAAAATAATACCAACATGCTTTGCGCACCGCGACTCTTGCCTGTTCGCCATATTTCATATTTGCAAATATTCAAATCGTTTGCTTCTTTATCGCCGGAATATTTGAATATTTATTACTTCTCAACGCAGGAATACTTAAAGATTAAATCAAGCAAGGTATGTACTACACAATTGCCATTTATTTCCCCAGAAGAGAGAGTACAATCTCATTATCTCAGGAGTATATTGTAACGGAATTTTCTTTGCTGGTTTACAACTCGTGTATAAAATACATGAGAAAAATTCTGTCTTGAGTTAATACAGTAACAATTCCACAGGATGTTGGCCTCTCTGCAACTGATTTATTTCTTACAAAGACAACATTTTTTCTTCGCTTGACAGCTTTTTGATAGTGTAATATTTATAACAATATTTCTTGGGCATCTTGTATGGCCTGTTCAAATGAGCCATAATAATATTAGCATAGAAAATTACATTTTGTTTATGTAAGGAAGCACAAACTATTAGCCCAGTTGGTCAGATCCTAGATTTGTTGAAATGAGAGACCGGGCATTTTATTTTTAATGAAAGCATTGTGAGAATTATCGGTGTTCTATCAATAGGCATAGCATCATTAATTAAGAAAAAGCTAACTGCAACTAGGGTATACAAGGTACTGTTATCAATGTGTCTAATTTGATCCATTGCTGAAGATGACTAAAATATAATCGAAAAGTAGAATTACCATTGCGTGCTTTATGAAAATACGTAGTGCTTCCCATAATCATCATTCATTAATGATATCAATTCCTCCTTAGGATCATGTTGACGAGGGCTATATGTAACAAACCATTCATTGGTGACGCTAGATGATCTTCATTCAAGATTCATTATCGGAAAGGAATCATCTGCAAGAAATGGTCTTTTCATTGGCTGATAAAAATGAACCTTGGGCAGATGTTTGCCAGATTGTATATTTCTTGTAGCCTTTAACTTGCATAAGGAAAAGAAAATATATACTGACACTACATGCTAGATAACGAACTCATTGTTGAAGATCATTTTAGTATTGTTTATATAAAAAAAGAACACTGTAAAGTCACCTTGTACTGGACAGAGTAATGTAATAAGTGCAAAGCTCGGCACAGCTAATTTACATTACCATTTGTAGTCTAAATGGTAATAAATGTGATATTTTACATTCATCCAGCTTTACTGTCTTACATTTTGAGGAGCATTACAGTACAAAACTTAAATGTGCCTACTGCCCTTTCATTATATTACTCTATCTAACAGCATATACAGTAAGGTTATATTTCATTAAGGGGTTGAGTCTTATTAATAGTTTATTTGTGAATTTATTTAAATATATATCATTTTGATATTCAGCATAATAGTTTTCACCTAAATACATTGTTCTTTATATATTTTCTATTTATGTGTATAATGCTAAATTGAATAGAATATTATTTTTTGCTAAAATGTGTTGATTTAGGTTATGTTAGATGTCACTAAGATGGTTTCGATAAATCGAAACATTGACATGGTCTCGATAAATCGAAACATTGACATGGTCTCGATAAATCGATTATCGAAACATTGGCATAGTCTCGATAAATCGAAACATTACATGGTCTCGATAAATCGAACCATGACATTGTCTTTGATAAATCGAAATATTGACATGGTCTCGATAAATCGAAACATTGGCATAGTCTCGATAAATCGAAACATTGACTTGGTCTCGATAAATCGAAATATTCACATGGTCTCGATAAATCGAAACATTCACATGGTCTCGATAAATCGAAACATTGGCATGGTCTGGATAAATCGAAACGTTAATACAGTTTCCATAAATTGGTCAGAGATGCCTTTGGTTAAACCAACATATTTTAACTGTTAGCTGTCATGCTACTTTTGCATTATTTGGTCTTTTTCAGAACAGTCTATAAGATGTATTGTTAATTTTAGGTAAATTTGGTTGTTTTGGCAAGAGAATAAAATTTGCATTCTTTTTTTTTGCACAAAAGGTGTTTTTAAGCACCAATTTTTCTGGGTTTTTTTTTCAGTTTTGGACAAATTTATTTAAAAATACGAAAATTGGCACCATTTTTGGCTAAATAGAATATTGGACCCTATACTAGAACGTGTTGGTAGCTTTCCTATAGAATTTCGACTTTGAAGTGACGTACTTCGAAGCACTGAACGGCCGCCATTTTGTCTCTCAGAGAAAATCCCGCCTAAGAATATTCAAACATCAACAACCCAAAAGGTGCTAAATATAGAATGTCTTACCTCAAAGAATTGTAGCCGCGGGTTTTATATAGAACTCTTTATTTGATCATTCCTATACGTTCGCACTCCCGTCAAGTAGTGATTGTACCGTAGTAAGTCTCATAGTGATTGTCAACAACTTCGAATTTATTTAAAACTTTGTAGTTAGAAGTGAAGAAATCGCAACGGACATATATAAAACGTTCTCTTTTTAAAAGAAAGCTTAAAAGCTTTCAAAATTATCTAAGTTGCTAAATATATTTTACTTTAACGTACCCCTTCCCCTTCGTTGATGAACTGTTCAGTGAACTTTATTTTAGTGATAGTGAACTTTATTTAGGCACGGGGGCCTGTCATCGAAAATAAGATGATGTTCTCAGGTGCCGTGAAATTTGAATTATTTACAATATTTACAAGGGGAATGAGAAATGAAAGCTATATACATAACAAAGTAAATCTACAGTTTATTTTTTAATATTTTTAGGGAAGTTGAATTCCTAATTTCAATTGGTATTGAATTCTATATCACTGCACCGTTATATTCGAGACTATTTTTCAAAAAATTGGTGTTTGGTTTAGGGATAACAAAATTGTAATTATGACCTCGTGTACCATAACTGTGAATTAAATTCGCACGATTAGATGACTGTGAAAGATAAGATGGGCCTAATTTGTGGTACACTTTGAAAATTAGACAAGATTTTTGTTTCATTCGCCTACCTTCTAGTGCCGGCCAATTTAACTCATTTAAAATTTGGGAAGAGCGTATTTCGTAGTTGCTCCTAGTAATTATTCGAGCTGCTCGATTTTGTAATTTTTGAAGTTTATCACGTAAACCTTTTCTGCAATTATCCCACACAGAACTACAATAATCAAAATGGGGGAGAATGATAGAAGAGTATATGTCAACTAGCGTGTTAATTGGCATCAGATCACGAATGCGTCTTAACATTCCCAGGCCTTTGGCTACTTTTTTGGATATATAGTTTACGTGTTCTTGCAACGATAGATTTGCATCAATTATAAGCCCCAGGGATTTTGTTAAAACTACTCCTACTGTATGCTGTCAATTGTTGATTAAATGAAAATTGACAAGACTCGAAATTTTTACCAACTGTTGGCATAGGGTTTATAATGAATGATACCCCCCTCCCCTTTTTTTCTTGTGACCCATCCGCTTTTTTTACCTATTCACCCCCTCGATAAATAATAACCGGTACCTTACGTAGAATTGCAATGTTTAAGAGTTATTTAAATCCCATTGTTGCGTGTGGTTCAATTAATCATTCTTCGTTTTGTTTGTTGACAAGTATCGTCCATTGGAAATATTTTCTTTATTTCTAAACAGATACAAATTGTGTGGTAATGAAGTATAAATTGAAGATAGTTTGTTACTGTTGATTTTAGAATTATTCACTAAAATGAGTGAAACGTTTTGTTATTTCATTTAGCGAAGTTATACACTCGCTCAACTGCCAATTTGTTATCTTTTACGCTTTGGTATCAAAATTTTGCAAACTGTAGATCTCCTCTCTTACCTTGTAACACGTATCCAATTATCTATTCGTCAACTTCATCGTCGCTATCGGCGCTGAGAACTGTTTCATCATCTCCAGATGGCATATTGTCACAATTCAAACTGCACATTTCGGTGCATTTCAGACCTGCTTTGAGGCAGCAGCATATATCTTCTGTACACCTGCGTTTCCAGGTGCAGGAAAGTAGCTCTATCACTTCTTCAGGGGCGGGCTTCGAACCAAGCCATATAAATTCTAAAGTAGAAAAGCTCACGTTCCCGCCATGCGGAGAAGGGATATCAGGGAATGCTTCTGCAGCTCTCCTCTTGATAGCAGCCTGATAGTTTGCACGAGACACATGCAGCCGCAGCGATGATTGATATGGCGGCAATGCTTCTGGCGCAACCTTGCCACCTTTCGCATAATGGAGCTCATATCGCAATGAATCCACATTCGTACCCTTCTTTCCATATAAATGACACACGAACTCTTCTGTTGCGCAAAACGTATCATCGCTTACACTCCATTCCTTGCCAATGTCTTTCATTGTCTTCACATAGGTATGATTCTTGACGAGCATCTGCATTGGCCGCAAGACAACGTCAATTCGCTTGCTGGAGTTGCTGGTTAACATTGCGAACAAACTTTCGGCTACAACTGCAAATGTGGCTCCAGGCGGTGGTTTAAACTTTTGAAGCACAGCCATTCCGTCATAAAAACTTGTAGCATCGAGTGGATTGTTAGTCTTTCTTGGAAGACCATAAGGATCTGCTAGCGCCCTAGGTAGTGGTCCGAAAGGATATTTAAACACCAATGGCATGTCTATCTTGCGAAATTGTCCCAATAACGCCATCCACGCGAAAACGTCTCGATCTAGTTTGATTGGAATTACAGCATCCTTCGAACGAACCTTCGTAACAGCTTTGAGATTCTTGAATGACTTAGGCTTGAGCTTTGTCAGAGGATCAAAAAAGGGAACACTTTCATCAGATGAGCATCGCTGTTCCACGAATTTTCCAGACGCGCTTTTTCCCTTTTCAGTAGCCTGTAGAGGTCATCTCTGACCTCAGGAGTTGCTGAGATCCCGGTTGACAGGCTAAATCAGGTGCACGACGTCTCTGTTCCACGGACTACAGAAGATATTCCCCAAAACGTCAACCACATTTGCTGCAGCTTCCATGTCTGATCTTATATGGGAAGGTGAGAGCTCTTTGTGGGGCTTGTTCTCAGTAGACAGCAGAGATACGTGTTCGCGGAAGAGTCGTCTGTATGAGCTGCGCCTGGAATTGTTCAAGACCCACCGCTGAGTCGCCGCGAAATTGGCACTGAATTCGATGTAGCCACCACTCGTCTTGCAATCCCTGTTGATCGTATTCTCGATGGTATTGTCGGCCTCGTTTTGACCAAATGGGTTACTTTTGGACATCTGTACACTGAAATGACCGGCGAGAAAAGCATCATAAACTTCAGGCATGACTGTTGACAAAGCACGCATATAATTCAGATATGGAATTAGATTGCGCGCATAGTTATGCCGGTCGTAGGCAAATGTCCAGGGTTCAACTGCTTCCATACAAGAGAGATACAGTTTCCAGTTGCCCGTTCTCGTTGCGTTGATCAGATCAAGTAGGAGTTGCAAATACGTGATCCAAAATTTTGCAAGAACACTGCCATTCTGCCTTATGTCAGCTACGTGTTCCTGAAAACGGTTCTTCTATTGCTGTAGCAGCTCGCTCTCCAGGACCTGCATGATATCTTCTTGACAAAGATTGAGCTTGAGCTGATCCAACTGCCTTTTATGGTCACTTAGCAATTCTAACGAATCCTCACGCAAACAAGCTTCAAAGTGGCCTAAAAGTAGCTTGATCATCGCCTCATACATAATCTTGTGTAGTCTAATTCCTTTGTTATAATGCTTGCCGTTTAGAACGCTGTCAATTGAGCCTTCAGCTATCACCTCACTGTGCACAGCTACATCGCTGAGGCCAGAGTCGCCAAAACGGTTGCCGATGATTGCCAATAGTGTCATCAATAGATAAAACCCGCCCATCAGTACAACTAAACCTTCAAATTGCTCCTCCTGCTTCCAAAACACTTCCATGGCTTTCGCATAGAACGCCTGATCAAATACGCAAGCTACTTGTCGTTGACGAGTATAAACTCGACTTGCCGGGTAATTCGCCTCGATATAAATAGGTCTATAAAGACTCCCATCTTGTCTTGACATGCTTGATTACTACACAGCCACGCAAACGAAATTCCCTCTTGGCAATATAGCAAACATATCACGGCGATGCATTAACTGAAACACAGAAACAAGGCATCATCCTGATGTTTATTGAGTCAGTTGTAACACCGTTCAGTAAAAAATTCAAAATCAAATCAACCGCGACCGAGTTGTTGAAATCCTCTCGCAAGACTCGCAAAACTAGAGGCATATATATTTACGCCTAACTATGTTATAAATATGTATAGGTTATTTTGAGGCAACGAGGGGATATGTGATTTATTCACCGAGGCGCGCAGCGCCGAGGTGAATAAACACATATCCCCGAGGTGCCTCAAAATAACGTACTTATTTTTCAAACTGCGAGGTCGCGTTAATGAGTAAGAATAGAAATAATTCTTAATGCCATATTGCCTTCGTCATGTTGTTTTTTTCTTCTCATTTTTTGTGCTGCAAAGACATTGCAGGTGAATATTAGAGGGAATTATTAATTGCAGGTGAATATTAGAGGGGATTATTAAACGGAAATTGATTAGAGGGGAATATTGAATATATTCCCCTATAAAAACAAAGGAAACCGAGCAGGTGAAAAATAAAATATTATATTAAACAACAGCGTATGCCTGTACGGATTCTGAACGATAATATCTTGAAGGATATACGGTTCAAACAGCCAATGAAAGTCATTGTTTTAACAAGTCCCTGCCGTTAACCAATTAACACTGTGATCCAGATTCTGGATCACTTCACACTATTAAGCATCGTGATTGGTGCGGTTCGATCTGAGAAACCATAGAAGTGTTCCAGAGGTTCTTCCCGCTCGTCGCCTCGCAGCTTGAATCCTCGTGTATCCCTCATTATCCCCCCTACTTGCGTGGAAGAACCTCTGGTACCCAGGGTATTATTTGGCAGAACTACAGCGCATTTTTGGCAGTGACAATGAACTCAGACGTCTGAGCTCAGCAACATTCTAATGTAAACAAAAGGCCATAAATAGTATCAAATTTCAAACGCTCTCAATTGTTCAAATCGCGTTTGCAGACGAGTTTTATTACGGTTTTTAGTACTTCAAAGTGTCCTTTTTCCAACTATACTAGTCACTGTATGTAATTAGGTCCCACTTTTAAGAAATTCAGCGTAGAAAATAGTAGAATTTGAAAGCCGTATTTTGAGATGGCGCTCTTTGTCGCTAAATATTGTCACAAATGCTCTGTAAATGAAAACCTAAGTTAGTTTAGATGAAATTACGATAGTTTTCCGGTGCTGGGTGTGAATATCAGAAATTTTAAACAAAAACTTTTGAAATTATGTTTATTTAAATTCAGCCCATTTTTTCGTTTAATTAGCCGGCGAATTTCTCCCGCGACGGTGCGAGACCAAAAAATCGCTAAAACTTTGAAACTAAATATATTTTCAAAATTCCAAACAGCATTTGTTTGTTGCTAAAGTAAATGTAGTTCACGGTAAAAGTTTCGAAGAAATTTATTTTTCGAGCCCCAAGTCAGTGGGCGGTTTTTAGAGACACACGCTCTTAATAGTTAAAATGTGCAACAAAGCCAACATATTTAAGAACCAGTGTGTTATTTGCAAAATCCGTGAGATATTAACAAGCTGTGAGTGTGAGCTCACCGTGAGATTTTAGTAGAATTCGTGACCGCCCCTTATACGCTACATATAACATATACCATAACAGCTATACAACAATTGACAAATAAATATTTCAGCGCGCGTTTAATTTAATGACACTTACCGTGACTTTAGTCTGTCTTCTAGAAATAACGTAAAACCAGAAACGCAGCAAACGCTTTATTAATTGGAATAATTGTTGTCTTTGTTACTTCGCGATAAGTCATTTTAATCAATGACATTTATCTTGTTGTTTATTGTAATAAACAGACTTGAAAAATTGGCGAATCATTTTATGAGCAACGCGTGTCAATAATAAATATATAAATATAATCTTTAATTCTTTGGTGTATCATTGTATCAAGGTCAAAAGTTCGCGCACATTTGAACATGTCCAATCAGAACCGACTGTTTTCGCAGCTCTTACAAGTGTAATACGATAGGAAATTAGGGGCTGCAATGCTTGTGCGTAGATATTTAATATAAGTGATTACTGAAGAATTACGTACATTTTGCATAACTTTATTGGAGAACAAGGCACAACATTCATTTAATTTTATTGATTATTAAGGGCGGTTGTCTGTAATAGTCAGGTAAGACGTGTAAAATGAGAAAATTCAAAATCCTTCAAACTTTGTCAGAATATAGGCCTATTCAAATTGGCCAAACGCGCCACGGAAGCTGATTAACTAATGGAATTTGAGTAATTAATGTAATTAATGTATACCATGGTGCAGACGGTCGTGAACTTACTATGCATGTTTTTAAAGGTGCATGGGAATCGACAACCTTGAGCAATTCACTGTCATATTGGTCACATAAATCTACCACATTACACGCTTCACCTCGGAAGCGTGTAATGTGGTAGATTTATGTGACCAATATGACAGTGAATTGCTCAAGGTTGTCGATTCCCATGCACCTTTAAAAACATGCATAGTAAGTTCACGACCGTCTGCACCATGGTACACTGAGGACATTTCTAAGGAGAAATGCAAGCGTCGTCAACTTGAAAGACGTTGGCGTAAGTCTGGATTAGATATGGATAAACAGCAGTATTATGATCAGTGCAAACGGGTAAGGGATATCATCAAGTCGTAAAAAATGAATTATTACTCTGCATTTATTCTTGAAAACAAGTCGGATCACAAAGTTTTGTTTAATACAATAGATCGTTTGTTGCACCGCAAATCTGAAAAACATTATCCCACATGTAATTTTATCGCTGAACTGTGCAATTCATTTGCCAACTTCTTTTCTGAAAAAATTGGGGCAATAATTTTTAGACAAGATTTTGATGATTTACCTAACGCTGATTCTTCTGATTTTGAGCAGATTGATGAAATAATTATTGATAGCGAGTTGACTGAACTTTTCCCAACAAGCGTCGAAGAACTATCGGCTCTTGTTGGCAAAATATGAACCAAATCGTGTAGTTTGGATCCAGTGCCTGCGTCACTACTCAAGAATTGCATCACCGATTTACTACCCATCATTTGTCGAGTTGTAAATCTCTCATTTGAATCCACTATAATGCCAACTTCCATGAAGCAAGCGTTGCTATCTCCGTTATTAAAGAAACAAACTTTGAATTTTGAAAGCTTCTCAAATTTTAGACCAATCTCTAATTTGAAATTTTTATCGAAGGTTATTGAGAAAGTAGCAGCTTCGCGTTTATGGGATCACCTCTGCACAAATGATCTAAATGAGATATTCCAGTCGGCTTACAAGAAGTATCACAGCTGCGAAACGGCACTTGTTCGAGTTCAGAATGACATCTTGAAAGCCATTGACAACAACAAATGTGTGATTCTTCTATTGCTGTACTTATCAGCTGCATTCGACACTGTTGATCATGACATTTTGTTAAACAGATTGCAGTCAAATTTTGGTATAAAGGGAAAAGCTCAAGCATGGTTTCGGTCGTATCTTACAGACCGCACACATTTTGTCAAAATAGATGGGAGCAGTTCATCAGTTCATCCCGTCAGTTACGGGGTGCCACAAGGGTCGGTGTTGGGACCATTATTATATCTGCTATACACGTCTCCATTGGGAGATCTAATGCGAAAACACGACATATCATTTCATCTATATGCAGATGATAATCAAATATATACCACGTTTGGTTTCAATAATGATGTTGAACTCTCGTTGACGACGTGTCGGGTTGAAAGATGTCTAGCTGATATCACCAACTGGATGTCTGCTAATAAGCTAAAACTCAATACTGGCAAAACAGAACTCCTTGTTCTCCACTCGAAAGTTCCGACAGATTTCGTTGCAACCAAACATAACTGTTAAATCTGACACCATTAAATCTAGTGAAAAAGCACGAAATATCGGAGTAACGTTCGACAGAACATTGACAATGTCACCTCACATAAATGAAGTGGTCAAGGGAGCTTTTTATCACTTAAGGAACATAGCCAAGATCAGAAAGTATATTAGTGCGGACACAACGGAAGTACTAGTTCATTCGTTTGTCAGTTCAAGATTAGACTTCTGCAATTCACTTTTGTATGGTCTACCTAAGTATGAACTCAATAAACTGCAAAATGTACAAAATTCAGCAGCACGGGTTATAGCTTGCTTGCGAAAGTATGACCACATCAGCCCAACTTTAAGAAACCTACATTGGTTGCCAGTTCAAGAAAGAATAGTTTTTAAGATTAATTTAATGTGTTTCAAAATAGTAAATAACATTGCTCCTAAATATTTTCAAGAACTTGTATGCCGTTATGAACCAACAAGAATACTTCGCTCATCAGCAGATAAATGGCGTCTTACAGAACAACCATACAAACTTAAAACCTATGGATATCGGGCATTTTCGGTAACTGCCCCAAAACTTTGGAACACACTGCCAGTGGATATTAGATCTATAACTGACATTAATACTTTTAAATCCAAATTAAAGACTCATCTTTTTAAATTATCTTATGACATATGACTTACAGTTATAAGAGATTTTATTTTAATATTTTTACTAGTTTTTTAGATATACATATATAGACATATGGGACTTATAAGACGAATTTTAATATTATAGCTTATACATATATAATAGATGTAAACTACTGTATACTTAATTTTACAATGTAAAGCGCATAGAACAGCAATGTATATGCGCTATAGAAATGTTGTTATTATTATTATTATTATTATTATTGTTTTATGAATAAATAATGATGTACAATGCATAAAACCCTAGTTTACAG